GACTTTGGACAAGTCAGTTGACCTTCATCCCCTCACCTATAAATGAGATGATTAAATTAGGCAATCTCAAAAGTCTTTTGTAGCTCTAAAATTGCGTGGACCTTTAATAATCATCACATGATCACTAAACACTCTGTCTTATGTACCTTCAAAATTCTTGTAATATATTTCATATCTTGGTGAGAAGGCCTCATTGGATTACATTATGGCAATATTTTGAGTGCTCCAGTTTGCTCAATGACTTTTAAAGAAAATACTGAAACTTAGTGTTTACTACTTTGTGGCAGAGACTATTTCATGGTGTATGAATATGGTACAGAACTGGATTCACGTACTAATTAGCTCCCTAATAGCTTGAATACACTTTTATTAGTGATGAGAGAGCCATTTAAATCAACTCAAATTTTAGTGTTTGCTTTCACTTCTTACATTTAGGTTTTTAAGTTTAGCATTTAAGTTTTTAACATTTCTGTTTACCTGAGATTATGATCAGAACCACATGTTGTCCAAAAATACAGCAGTATACTTCTTTTGTGTCGAGACAGAGTCTCACTCTGTTGCCCGGGCTAGAGTGCCATGGCATCAGCCTAGCTCCCAGCAACCTCAAACTCCTGGGCTCAAGCGATCCTCCTGCCTCAGCCTCCCCAGTAGCTTGGACTGTGCACCACCACGCCTGGTTAATTTTTTCTATTTTTAGTTGCCTGGCTAATTTTTTTTTTCTATTTTTAGTAGAGATGGGGTCTCACTTTTACTCAGGCTGGTGTTGAACTCCTGAGCTCAAGTGATCCTCCAGCCTTGGCCTTTCAGAGTGCTAGGATTACAGGCGTGAGCCACCGCACCCGGCCAACGGTATACTTTATATACAAATATAACTACTGCTCTATTAATTCAGATAAACCATGTAACATTATGCTGCATAGGAGGTAGTATTTTAGGCAAATTTTCTAAATAAAAGGATTACATAATTTGTTACCAGTGAGTTTTTCCCCCTCTATTCTAGACATGAGTATTCTGTTGGCTCAGTGCACTTGAAGGGTGGCCCTGTTTGGTCCTTTGCAGTCGTCAGATAAGCCAGAAAAGTTCCACGTGGTGCTCTCGTGCCCTTCCCCACGTCCTCTGGAAC